GCTGAACCAACCTGTTACACTGCTTAACAGACCTAAATTTATAGGGAAGCCATGCATGGTGGTGCAGGCCTGTAATCCCAGCTACTTGGGAGGCTGAGGCAGGAGAATTACAAGTTCTCGGCCTCAGCAGTTTAGCAAGAGCCTATGCAAAAAAAAAAAAAAAAAGCAAGCTGGGGATGGAGCCCCTCAAAGAGAGCAACAACTCACTTGTGTCCAGCTTTTATTGGGGGGTAGGAGGGAGACAGTTAAATCCCACCTAAGTATCACCTCTGGGCTCCGGACTATTAGACTGCATTAGCTAACGACCTAAGGGCAGCCCTTGGTCATGCTGGCCTGGCTGACGGGACCCTGTTGGAATTGGTTTGACAGAATTCACATTTGGACTCTGTTCTTATTCATCTTTGCTTTCCTATGTCTGGGAATCTCTGGTCTGGTTTTTGTGTAGGGTCTTGCTGAAGATGTTTTGATAATTACACCCTTTTAAGCAAACATATTCTGTTTTCCCCTGAATTTATCTATCTTCCTCCTGTTTTAAGAGGTATAGCTTATATGACTGAAATTAGGCAAGGGTACGGAAATAGCTATCTTGTCAGATCTTGGGGCGCTACTGAGGCAGGTCTGTTGATCAACTGATTTGCTCTGTACTATTTTCTTTTTTTGGAGGTGGTGGAGATTGAGCTCAGGGAAGGTATATTCTACCACTGAGCTACACCCCCAGTCTGTACTAAGTGTCTTCTTAGATGCATTGCTCATGTCTTAACTTCTACCTAAGTAGTTCAAATCAGGAAAAAAAATTATTACGTAAACCAGCAGGCATGATGTGTCACACAACTTCCGTGCAAATTGGAGGGGTAAAAGGAGTCAACTCTCTGCCCATGAACAAAGTAAGTCCCCAATAATATGAACAAGATGCAGTTTATCACTTAACAGTTACAACTTCCAGATCAGTCTACAGGCTCCAAATCCAGTGCCCCTTCAATTGCAGGAAACCAAACTGGCTAAAAACTCACTCATACACAATGGGGAGCCAAAGGAAGGGCACAATGGGGAGCCAAAGGAGGGGCAGTATCAGTGGCCCAGGCCAACAGGCTCTCAACATGGGCCAGCTGTCTCTTACCAACAACCCGCAGCCAATGATACTGGAAAAAAACAGTGTGAGAAGATTTCTACTGGCACACATAGGACTATCCCAGTCAGTAATTCTGTTTTAAATATTTTTATTGAAATGACAATGAAATAAAAAAGAACAGTGACCATTTTAATCAAACTCTTGCTTTACAAATATAAAAATATAACCAAAACTTCAAACCATTTCTTTTATACATTTCCTATAAACAATATCAGAAAAATTCTCAAAGCCAAACTGTAAATGGTACTTGTAGTAAACCATGATGTGAATACAGTAAAAGTTCTTCTTTTGTGGTGCTGGGGATTGAACTCTGGGCCTCTCATGCATGCTGGGCAAGTGCCCTACCACTGAGCTCCACCCCCATTCAAAGGTTTCATTTTTTTAAACATTGATTTTTCCTTCAATAAAACAGCATAACCAACATATTTGGGGGGGGGTACTGGGGATTGAACCCAAGGATGCTTTGCCACTGAGCTACATTCCCCAGCATTTTTTATTTAATTTCAAAACAGGGTCTCACTAAGTGGCTTAGGGCCTCACTAAATTGCTGAAGTTGGCCTCAAAGCTGCAATCTTCCTGCCTCAGCCTCCCATGTCACTGAGGTTAGACACGTTTGTCTGCACTTGGCTGTTAATCAACATACCTTCCCAACTTTATTCTTAACAATTCCTGGGATTAAAAAATACACCTAACTTGGCTTAATTTAGATTTATAGGTCTTAGTGTTTTTTCCCACAAAACAGGTTTGATACTTATGAGCTAATATTAAAATGCATTTTATGGGGATGGTAATATAGCTCAGTGGTAGACTAATTGGTCCTGGGTTCAATCCCCAAAATGGCAAAACAAAAGAACAATAGAAATTTAAGGCTGGGATGTAGCTCAGTGACACAGCACTTGCTAAGCATGGGCAAGGCCCTGGGTTAGATCGCCAGCCCAGGAAAGGGGGGGGGGTGATGCATGGCTCAAGTCAAATAACAGTATTATTTATTATTTCTCATTATACGTTTATTTTCTTGGGGTGGAGCAGGTACTGGGGATTGAATCCAGGGGTGTTTTACCACTGAGCTATATCTCCAGCCTTTTAAATTTTATATTTTGCAACAGGGTTTTTCTAAGTTGCTGAGGTTGGTCTTGAACTTGCAGTCCTCCTGCTTCAGCCTCCAGATTCATTGGGAATCCTAGGCTCTCATTACACATTTAAATAACAAAAGCAAATCCATTGAAATGAGTTTAACCCATACAATAAGTGATGTAAAAACAAGTGGAATAAGTATGGGAACATCAAGTCTTATATTACAGAAGCTGACTTGTATTACAGAGAAAACCCACTAAGCCTTCTTTAGCAAGGCAACATGTAAAGCTGCAAATTCTCTGCAACAGCCTTAGCGATCAGCACACATTGTTCCAAACATACTAGTAAAAACATTAAGTTTGAGGAACTAAAATATGGAAAAGCTACTCCAAGCATTTCATCTCAGGTGACTGAGCAAGTAGTTTAAATAGCTGAGGGCCTAAGTGTCAGATTATTTAAGAAAGGAAACTGTAAACTGACAGTTGCTGGCCTGATGAATGTGAAGGTTGTCCTCAACCTCTTTTGTAAGAAAACAGACCTGCTATTTGATTATTACATTTTATCCAAATACAATTAATGCTAATTTAATGGGACCTTTAAATTCCAAAAATAACTGAATGCTGGTTATTCAAAAACTTTGAAATATGTTACAGTACAAATTATGTACAGAACTATGCCATTTTAAGTATTGCCTACTTTTTTAAAAAAAAGAAAGAAAAAAATTAAAATGCTTAAAATAGCATAAAAAAAATCTCATTTTCCTCTAAAGGGATGTCAATACTGAATATGACTTCAAACAAGAACTAAAACTGAACTAAAAAGTTCCTCTCCCTACTTTATTATAAACATTTTGTAGTGCCACTTAGTATACTGTTTTAAACAGAATATGTACTACTTGGAGTATTCACGGAAAATAAGATAGCATAAATCATGGTTATAAATTGTAAAAGTGGGCTTTCATTTATAAACAACCTGGGACACAGTAAGTACTCAAAATATGCCTGTTAAAAACTATCCAATATTTAGCATGAAGATCATTGGAATGCAAATTTTAAAACTTAGTTCTTGAAGGAGTATGGTAAGAAATTATGAATCAGACAATCTTAACATTAATCAGTGCCCACATTCTCTTTTAAGGCTTAAAATAAACAAACCAAATTTTAATCCCTCAGGTTCTATATCCACTATGAAACTTAAAATACTGGGATCCAAGTTTTAGTTGGTGTTTGTGCAATATGAATTTTACATTCAAAACCAGATCTCTTACATCCCCAAATCAGTAACCCAGCCAACTTAAAGGTTTTGCTCATTAGGTTCTGGTATACAGACGACTGACTGTAGAACTTGTACAAGTGACCAAGATTTTCTAGGTCAAAGTGTGAGTTACAAAGGGCAATAACTGGCCTTGAATCAGATGACTTCAACTCAAACACTCTTTAGACTAACAGCATGTTTAAATCACTACCCTCCCAGAATTGCAAGAGCTCACATCTGAAATGTTATCTTTTCACTTAGATGCCAAAGCAGTCATGGGAAATGAACTGGATCAACCTATCTGCATCTCTATATTCTCCAACCGGAAGGATCAATTAAAGACTCTAGCATAATGTAAATCAGAGGGACAAGACTGTTAGCCCTTGAGGGAAGAGGACTATCCAAAGGATTAGTGACTTTTTCAAAGGACAAAACTCTTCACTTTTGGTCAGGAAGACTGGTACTCATCTATTACAAAGAATGAGCACAGGTACAGTCAATGCTTCACAACTGTGTGAATATCTGATAAAACTCCAACTAAATAAATGTGAATGTTTACAATTCCTCAGCCACTCTTGGCCCGATCAGGTCTGAATAGGGAAGAGCATGACGTATCTTTGACCACTCCATATTCAGACTACCAGCCTTGTGATCAGTACCATAAAAATATATGAACTAATCAAAAGTTCATCTCTACCTATCAAAACTTACCAAACTTGCAAGCTATACCTTGCAAGATTTCTTTCACATTAATCCTGTAGTCAACAAGTCTATAATGATGCATAAACAATATAGTTTTGACCATAAAATAATGGTGCAACCAGCAGAGTCCCATTGAACCTAACTGGATGGTGTTCGTGTAAGTTTTTAAAAATTCGGTACTTTTCTCTTATGCTGACAAAATCTGTCTTCTACCCTGCACCCAGAATTCAGTTGATTTTGATTATTCCAAAAAAAAAAAGAAAATTTAAAGGCTTTTGTCACTTGCTAAAACAAGGCTTCCATCTCTATGGATATAAACTCAAGTTAGTTGAGATAACTCTGCAAGCTGAGACTTTATAACCTAATAGTATTACCATGGCTCTAAGGATAATTAAAAAACAATTTCACAATAGCACAAATAATTAATAAACCCACTGTATAAAAAAACACTACATGAGCTCTGTCTAAAAGGGTCTCTTTTTTGTACCAATTCCCATGACTTTGCTAACCCAGTATATTTTAATGATTTCCCATATGTTTAATATTTGTTGTTACTAAGGCCTAGATGGCTGTAAAACATACTGGTAAGTTAATATCCCGGGAGTTCTCAGCAAGAGAATGCACAAGAATGTAAAGTGTGGTACAGGAATTGCACCTTGGACTCAATCAGACAAATAAGCTCCCAAAAGTAATGAAAGATCCTCATCACAAATATCAGTAATGGGTTTGGAATATGTGCCCCAAAATGGTACTGGAGCAAGGGTCCCACAAACTCAACTAACCTAAACTGCCACTGTTTTAATGTTCACCAGCCTAAAGGAGGGAAAGAACAATCCTCAACTTTTGAGATTTTCAAAGTTTAATGAGAAATTAAAAAAAGAATACAAATAGAAAGAAGTTTGCTCTCTTTAATGTTGTACAAAAAATTATGAGTAGAACCAAAAGTAAATAAACATTATCACATTTGTTTACACCACTCTCTAGTTCCTCATATTAACTTTACTATTCAAACAATAGAAAGTAGCGGCAATTTAGGGATTGGGAAAGGGATAAAAACCAAAAAAACTTTACTAAGACGTTTATTCTTCTACACTGTGTATAGCTGTGCTCACAGAGACGGCTTCTTTTACTTCTCCTCTGCTGCAGGTATTCAGTTGTATATAAAATTGAACCTGAATTTTAAAAAGAACAATACCTTTATTAAAAACAGTATTTGTTACATAGTTTCCACTGTAGATGATAAGGGAACTAATCAGGATGTTTCTACCCTCCCTTGACATGATTACCATTTTGTACCTCACCAATCATTACCTTCTACATTAGATAAGTGTTGCTGGATATTTATATTGAAAAAAAATTAAAGACTATATATTTGATTAATTGTCAATTATCAAGTTCCTTGAAGGCAGGAAAAGTTTTTACATGTCCTTGTATTCTGATCACTCAGCACAGTTCTACACCCAACAGGTAGGAGTTTAAATGAACACTTTTTTTTTTCTTTTCATTTTTGAGTACTGGGGATTGAACTCGGGGGCATTCAACCACAGAGCCCCATCTCAAGCCCTATTTTTTGTACTTTATTTAGAGACAGGGTCTCACTGAGTTGTTTAGCCTCTTGCTGTTTGCTGAGATTGGCTTTGAACTCGAGATCCTCCTGTCTCAACTTCCCAAACCACTGTGCACCACCACGCCAATCGATTTTTTTTTTCATATACCATACTACAACTTATAACTCATCAAGAGACCAAAGTAGAAGAACAAAAGACCAAGTTTGATTAGTGACTAAGTAGGCTGATTTCATATATAACAATCTTTCATACAGGGCTAAAATCACTACTGAAGTAGTTTTTAAACTAGCATTTATTTAGTACTTACCTGGAACCTAGCACTGTTCCAAACATTTTACATGTTGTTCCACTTTTTTCTCATATACAGATGAAGAAACACGCAAATGGGTATAAAAGTTTGTCCAAGGTCACATTATCACTACTGAAAGTATAATTCAAATATAAACACTGACATAGACTCTACATCCATAATCACCATGGTATTATACAATTCTTATCTGGTTAGTTCTAAAAACTTTAACCAATACAATTTTTTAAAAATCCATTTCTCATCAATTTATCTGCCTAAAAATTTAAACTCCATGTAAAAATTTGGAAATTAATCTCATATGCCCTAATTTAAGCCAAATATAGTAAATTCCAAAAAGGAAAGAGAATATATTATACCAAGAGATTCAATTTCCAGAGTTTTATATAGACTCCCTTATACACTGTTGACTATTTCACCACTACCTTTTTGAATGAAGAACTCAAGCTTAACTATAGAGAACATCAGATCTCAGGAAGCAGTTGCATAAATGTCAAAACATCATGCCAATTGGTTTACACTTGACCTCAAGAGTCAACCTACAGTTTTAGTTTCCTTAAACACTAGATTTTGTGAACTGCCCCTTCTCAAGTGGCTCTGAATATTTTAAATTTGACAGTTTAAATGGATGAGAAAATGTGCAACTTTCCATACCTGCTCAACAGCTGAGGGAGACTAGAAATGATGGGTCCATATCCTGGTGCATTGTCATACAATTCAAACAGTGGTGCAGCTACCAGCTTGTAATTTTTAGGGACTGCAAACAATGCTAAAATAAACAAAACAGGATTCATTTTCTGTAACTTCTCATATAATCACTAATTCTATTTTATTTCAAATTAATACACAATTTTAAATCTGAAAAACACGTCTAAGAAAAAGATAATTCTCATCAATACATTTTGATTGCGTCTTCTATGCTAGAGATCAGTCACACATTTGAAACTAACCGATTCTCTTAAGAGATCCATGGTATTAACAACATGTACAACTTGATTATAAGTACTGCTCCAGGAGAAAGGAGAAAATAGCCTTGGGGTTATAATTCATTTTGAACCCCATTATAAAACCATTGTAAAAAATGGAATCATTTCCCTGGGTTAAATCCCTAGACTCCCTCACACCTCTGGCAAAAAATGAAAAATACTACTATAATCTGGTATGTTAGGTTCTAAATTTACTTCTCCCTCAATACCATGACTGGCACAACTAAGAGAAACTAAAGTAATTCTGCATGAACATGCCACAGTTTTGGTTTTACAATTAAAAATAAACAAAAAAACTCTAGTAACCTGGAAAAAACACAAATAGAAATATCCTTGAAAACATTCTACAAGTGTTTAGATGTGCCTTCAAAAAACAAAATAACTGTGGTGCACAACTGTAATCCCAGTGACGTGGGAGGCTGAGACACGAGAATCATGAGCTCAAAGCCAGCCTCAGCAAAAGGCAGGCACAAAGCAACTCAGTGAGAGCCTGTCTCTAAATATAGGGCTGGGGATATGGCTTAGTGGTCAAGTGCCAGAGTTTAATCCCTATTACCCCCACGCCCCCCACCAAAGAAAACTTACCTTTCTCTTGAAGTTGAACCAGAAACAACTTCTTATGTTCCTTAGGCTTTGTAATGTGTGCAGGAATATATGGATACTAAAATAACAAATGAGAGTAATTTGTAGTTTTCAAACCAACAATTCTTTCTACCTCCCCACCTTTAATTATCAATATCTCACATTTCAGACGCTAAGGCTAACTACGAACCCTTCTCAGACCAAGTTCTTTATATTCTAAACACAATTTTAATTTAACATGTACTCCATCACATGCGTTTGTTTATTCCCCAATACACTGTAAACTGATGGTAGAATATTATTTTCTAGTTTCCAATTACCAGGACGGATTACCTAAAAGATATACTAATAAATAAGTATTTTCATTCATATAAAATAACAAGTAGTACTTGTTATTTTATATGAATATAAAATTCAAGACAACTAAATATGAAGTCACATAATTTATGGCCCTAAGAAATTTACAACATGATGAAGTTTGACTTTACTGTCATTACTGTTTTAAAATATCATTACAAGGTAAAATGCTCTAGAATCCTATGTGGAACATGTTTACTATGTTAAAAGTTTAAATATAGCCTGTGAGGTATTTGACAAGATGCTTTGTGTTCCTTCTTCCCTCAACAACACTCCTAACTACACATACACAGCACACACTAGACAAGCCAAGTAAGTGGAGTTCTGCCAATTGGACAAAGTATAATTGCTTGGTAAAATGGAGAAAATATTTTAGACAATTTAAAGGGGTAAAAAGAATTAGAGAATGAAACTACTAGATAAGAATGAACAGTTTTAGGGCTAGGGGCATAACTGAGTGGTAGATTGCCTGACCAGCATATGTGAAGGCCTGAGTTCAATCCACCAAAATTTTAAAGAACAACAACAACAACAAAAAACAAACCTAAGGGATTTTTCTCCTAACCCTAGCATGTATACTTAACAAAAACTTCTGCTATATCTCCCCACAATACATTCAGAAATTTATTTTGCTTCTGGAGTTTTATTTGAGGGCAAGAGAATTAAAAAGTGCTGAAAATAGACTTAAAAGGAAGGTAGAAAAAAAGTAGATGCTGCCAAAAGGCGGTATTATCATCATCTACATTTTATAACTTCTACTAAAAGAGACCAAGAACCTTTCCCAAGATGACTCTGCTAAGTAGTGAAGCCAAAATTCAACAGCATCTGTTCAACTCTTTATCTAATTATAAAAGTCTATGTCACTTTTCATTGTGTTACTCACTGGCTCCTAACCAGAATTCGGGCTAGGTTCATTATACATCACAGCCATTCCTAAAAAAAAATGGTTTGAGGTGATGTCCAAGGCTTTGGAGGTCCCCTAGACACATTAGCAGCAGAGAAACAAACACACTAGCAGCTAAGATCTGAGAAGTGACTTAAATAGCACATAAAAAATAAAAAATTAAAAATAAAACCTGTGGCTCCCATATAACAAAAGCTCCCAAACTGTGACCAAACCAATGGGAGTGCCATTACCCTAATTTTCTTCCACTTGAAGCTACAGTTCCTTTTTTTTTAAGCCTGTCTTCTACAGTCCTGGACTTAATGTCTAAGGCAATTACACTCTTATCTGAAAAGACTGTAGGGAGCTTATAATTTCGTAACTTCTTCCCATTGGGGCCTACCTAAAATTCTAGGTTTACTAAATAACTATACAATCCTTTTGTACCTGATACTGCCAGGACTTCGGCAAAGGGAAGCATTCTAGGACCATGGCAGGGGAGATGGATGAGAGTATTCAGAAAATAGACTGTAAAGCAATTTCCAATTAGGTCAGATAATGTTCAAAAAACCAAAATCAGTTAAGAATAATTGCTCTGATTATTTTTTTCTTTCCACATTTTTTTTATTCGTGCATTATAGCTGTACATAATGATGGGATTTGTTTGCTCTGTGTCTTTTTGAACAAAAAGCAATTTTTTTTTCCTGTATGGAATTAAAGCCGAGACACAGACAGATGTGTTCTCGGCAATTCTTAGGCAGTGTGCACTAGCACTTCCAAGCCCTGTGTCCTCCTATCCCTCTGCTATGCAAGACAGTCAAATGAGAAAGCACAGAATCATCTTTTGTTTGGCCAATATTTTGTGGATTGCTTGACCTAGAACATCCTGTCATGCAAAGAAGCTATCAAGCCACAGGGCTTTTGGCCAAAAGAATGCAGGATCCAACTTTAAGATGTTCCTTCACCAGCCAAAGTAGGAAAATCTAAGCATCAATAACATTATCAATCACTACAATAGATTAAAATACATCAAATATATTTAAATTCTTAAGGTCATACTGACACTTCAAAAGGTTACTGAAACATACTTTTTAAAATATATTTTAGTTGTAGCTGGACACAATATCTTTATTTTTTTATGTGATGCAGAGAATTGAACCAGTGCTTCACATATGCTAAGCAAGCACTGTACCACTGAGCCGAAGCCCCAGCCCCTAAAACATAATTTTTGTGCCCAATATGACAGAACCACATTCTCCCTCAGATTTCAGGGCAGCTGTGTTTGGAAGTGTCAGAAATTTCCCTGCTTTCTGCTATTGTTCCGCTCCCTGTTTTTCAGAATCTGCTTTTCAAACCCCAAAACATCTCTCAACTCATGCTCAGACCCAACATGAAAGTGCAAGGGAGTTAATGTAACTCTCACACGATGGGGAGAGGGGTCTCTGGCCTTCTTTCTTCTTTTCTGTGTGTGTATGTGTGTGTGCACATACCACATTTTTTATTTGCTTATTTCTTGCATTTGAAGTACTTTTTAATGACATCCTTGACCTGAGATTCTTTGCCATAGTCCTTAAGCACTATAAAACTGTTAAGCACTTTAAGAGATTTGCCCTTTCAATCAATTTGACAGAAGCCTACCTATTCTCCCAGTTTCTTGTTGTCATCTATCTTAATTAGGCTGATATTGTGCTTAGCACAAAGGGCCTCCTCAAACTTGACACACATGGGCTTATTACAGTCGGATGCAAGCACACAATGAAGGCCTTCTCTCTCCTTTTTTTTTTTTTTAGCTTTTTTTTATTCATTTATTTTATGTAGTGCACGTGCTAAGCAAGTACTCTACCACTGAGCCACAACCCAGCCCCTGGGCTTGTCTCTTATCTAAGGTTCCAGCAGCTTTGCATATTCCATGTGTAAGGCTTTCATGGATGAGGACAGTCTTCAATAATGACGTCCATCATACCTCCAGCCGCTTTATACCAGATGGGTAAAGCCAATCTTGAATGTACCTGAGCCTCTGTGGGACTCAGCAGCGGCAGGGAAAGAGTCTGCTCTGTCTTTCTGATGGGCAATTCTGAAGTACAGTCCACATGGCTGCTGATAGTCCTTAGCTGGATTCATTTAGTTGCCCTAGTTGCCCTCAGTTGTAATAAGATCAATAATAATGTTCCTCCTCCTCCTTAAAAAAAAAAAAAAAAAACACATCCTGCAGCTGCTACTCTCCTCTCCCTCTCTCCCTATACTCTTCTGTTTCCTGTAATCACTTCCCAGAACTATCTGCACCAAAGTCTCTTATTCTGAAGAAAGTCAAGTGTCTGCAGGATGCTAAATAATGAACTCATTCTTCTGAAGACTGGTAAGAAAAAAAGAATATTTTTTCTTATACACATTATACACCTCTTTATAAATAAGCAACAATTTATCTTTACATAAGTGTTACAAACCTAATGAATTCACAGATCCAGGAAATTCTCATCAATTAGTTAATATTATAAAACGAAACAACCAGATATTCTAAATACCAGATGGGGATGTCAGTCTCTAGATGACACCCAATGATCCCTGTCTCCTTGCATTCACACCTTTGTGGAGTGTTCTCCCAATGCACTAGAAGGTGATCAATAACGTACATCAGCATCAATGGTATTCCACTGCTTAGATGAGGTATAAGAAACTGTAGCTTCCCCTGTAGTCACTTTCACTGTCACCCACCATCTCTTCAATTACAAGCCAATTGAGGAAGCCAGTTGTATTACTGAAAGTTATCCTTTGGAGATGTTCTTATGACAAGTAATTGAGGGAGGCCTTGTGTCAACAGCCAGGAAAAACTGAAGCCTTTAGTCCAACAGCCCAGAAGGAACTGAGGGGTTACACATGAGCTTGGGATCAGAGCCTATCCCAGCAATGCAGTCCCAGTTGCCAATTTAACTTCATGAGACCCTAAGCTGAACTACCCTGCAAGGTAGTTTCCAGATGCCTAACCCTGGGAAACTAAGATAACACATTTCTGTTATTTAGGCCACTAAGTTTTGAGGTATAGGTTGATTATACCTTATCAGAAATGCTTAGAACCAAAGCACTTCAGATTTTGGAATTTTTTTCAGATTTTTGGAATACTGGTAAAGACTTAACCAGTTGAATATCCCTAATTAAAAAATCAAAAATTCTAAAACCAAAAACTTTTTGAGTGTCATGTCAACCACAGCACTCTCGACTTAAATGCTTGATTTTTAGGAATGCTCAACCTGTAATCTGTTACACAGGAATAGATATATAAATATATCATCAATGATAAGCCTTGTTACTCCCTCTTCTCCCCACATAAAGACTGAATTCAATCTTTTGATCAAACTATCAATTTATAGGACATACAGGAGAAAGAAATACGTGTCCAATGAAAAAAGGGGGATGCAAATCAGCAAAGGAAACACTAAGACTTTAAATAGCTTGTTTTCATCATTAATAAATTACAAAAAGAAAGAGACAACCTGTAGGAGTTAAAAAAACACTATGCTAATTGAAACAAATATAAAATAGAAATAATCAAGACAGTAAAAACAGTGACTGGATATGATATTATGAACTATTTCTCATTTTTTAGTACAATAATGGTTTAAAAGGCCCTTATCTTTTATGATTCAAACTAAAGTATTTACAAATGAAATGATATCTAGGATTTGCCTCACAAAAATCTAAGCAGATAAAAACATGTATGACCATGAATTGGAGGATGACAGTAACAGGATTCATTTATTACTAGTCTCTCTATTTTTGTATATTTTTTAATTTTTCCTTTGAAAGAAATGAATATGTGGCACTGTCATTTGTTAACTAAATGAAGGAGGGGAGAAAAGAAAACTCAAAGTCAAATAGTACTTTGATCATTTTTTAAATGTCTAGAATTTAATCATCTTTTTGTTTCTCCAAATGTCCAGCAAAGATAACTGAACACTGACCTGAGGAGGTTCAAAATTTGGTCTCCACCAGTTACCAATGCAGTCATCAATGACCCAGTCTTGCAGGACCCCATCTTGACGACCCAGTATCTGTCAAAAGAAATGACATAGCTAGTAAACTAAATATACTTACTCACAAACACCCTTCTTTGATGAAGAGACTATTTCTGGCAGCACTCCTAGTAGAGACATACAGCTAGTTAATGTGCCTTCCTTATATAATTCCTTGTTTATTATCTATGTCATTCTGCCCAAGATAGACACTGTTGGTTCAAAATTAGCATTCTACTATGAACATAATGCTATATAGGGCCAACAAATCTGTTACTGTGCTCTGGGTATACACAGAAAACCCAAGGTCATCAGACAATTACATAAACCAGCAATACAAGAGTTTCTCTAGAATCAACTAGAGCTTCTATAAATTCTCTACCTAACCAAGTTAGAAATATTTTCAAAATACACAATCTTCGTTTTTATTATTCTGTTTAACATTAAACTTAGTTAACTTGATCAAAAGTATAATCTACACATTTGCATTGTTCAAAATGGTTCTAGAAGGTTCATATAGTAAGAAAGGGAAGTTATCTGTTCCGCTTCACCTGTTCCCACTGGCTGCAACATTCAACTCAGCTGTTTATTCCTGTTGCCTCTATTTTTAAACATATTGTTTTAGACGACCAGAAAACTCATAAAGATAGTTCAAAGACTTTCCATGTGCCCTACACCTGGTTTCTCCTTTTACAACTAATGAACCAATACCAATACATAATTACCAACTGAAATCCATACTTTACTCAGAAATCTTTAGTTTTTCACCTAATGTCCTTTCTGAGTCCTAAGATCCCATTTAGGATATCACAATATATTTTTCATCATTTCTCCTGGGGCTCCTATGGACTATGCCAGATTCTCAGACTTTCCTTGTTTTTCATGATCTTGACAGTTCTGAAGTCTACTGGTCAGCTTCTGTAGAAAGTCTCTCAATTAGACAGATAATGAATCTTTGGGAGGAGGACCACAGAGGCAAAGTTTGCCACTCTTACAGCTTCACATCAAGGGAACCACCTACCACTAATATCAACCTTTATCACCTGGTTGAGGTCCTGTTTGTCAGATTTATCCAACGTAAAGTTACATTTTTAAACACATTCTTTTATGACCATTTCTTGATTACTTTTATTTTATTGCTGGGGGGGGGGATAACCAGAGATTGAACCCAGGAGCACTTAACCTATGAGCTACATCCCCAGGCTTTTTTATTTTTATTTTGAAACAGTCTCCCTAAGTTGCTTAGGGCCTAAGTTGCTGAGGCTAGCTTTGAACTTGAAATCTTCCTGCCTCAGCCTCTTTGAGCAGCTGGGATTATAGGAATGTGCCAATGCACAAGGCTTACTTTTCAATTTTAAAAACCTAGAAGAACCCTATAATCTCCCTCTATTACACAAGAGAATTTAGATATTAAAACCATATCACCCACTCAATACTTTTTCTCCCTACATTCTCTCATTATCAACAAATTAATATACTTAGGTAGATCAGTCACAATAGTAACTAGTAAATGACAATTACATTTCCTTATTTGTACAACTATTTTTTTTCTTTAGAGTTGATAAATGTTTGATTTCATTTACTATCACTATATTTACTCCCACATAATAATTTAAATTTCTTCCCAATTTAAGCATCAAATTACTCTATCAATTTCACTTTTTCAAAGAGATGTTATGCTCCAATCTACACTAGATGCACTCAGCCCTGCTTCACACAGCTAGAGTCTTAGGGCTTCCCTTGACCTTTCTCCTACAGTTTGATGCTCTCTAATATTCTGATCCTATATCTTCAGTCTTAGTTTACTTCTTCATTGTGGTAGTGAAAACCCTCTGAAGTTTCCTAAGCAAAGGTACAAGAACTAATACCAGTTTTTGAATCTCTTCATGTCTGGAAATAACTATTTTACCTGTACCCTTGACTTGTAAGACTTTAGACAGGAAATGCTAGGATGGAAATCACATTCTCTCAGAATTACAGGAGCATGCTCTAGTATCTTTTAGCTTCCAGTATTCTTTGTTGGCAGTCTGATGCCTTTCTGATTTTGATGCTTATATTAACGTGTATGGCTGCCCAGCCACTCCCCTCCACTTTGGAAGCTTTGAGTACCTTCTATCATCATTGGTCTAAATTTTCATAATGATGTACCTTCGGGTGGATTTTTAAATACTCTTTTATAGAGGGCAGGCCAGGAAGTCTTTTCAGATGTCCTTTGGGCTTAGGAAATTGTCTCAAATTATGTTTTGCTAAATCTTATTCCTCAGTTCTATTTACCTATAATTTATATTGGTCATTTTAAAAATGAACACTAATTTTGTTTTTTTCTAATCTACATTCTTTTTATCTTTTCATTTTATTTTATGATAGTATGAACTACCTTTTAACCCACCACTGAGTTTTTTGCCCTAACATTTTAAAAAATATTCATGAGGTTTTATTTTGGGTTGGTTAAAATCTTTTTTAAAGGATGCTTTGTCTCATAGATACAATATCTTCTCTTTTTAAAAATACCTTTATTTTATTTATTTATTTCTATGTGGTGCTGAGGATCGAACCCAGTGCCTCACACATTCAAGGCAAGTGCTCTACCACTGAGCCACAACCCCAGACTCATAATATCTTCTCTTATTGTACCAAGAAAATTAATCACAGTTTTGTCACTGAATTTTTCACTTCTCTTGAATTCCGTTTTTTAAAAAATGTATGTATGTACACATGTACTTTTGTAGTACTACAGATGGAGTCCAGGGCCTTGCTCATACCAGGCAAGCACTCTACCAATGAGCTACATCCAGCCCCCTTTTGCTTCTTTTGACCTCTCTTATTAAAAAGCCTTTCCCACAAGTCTAACATACTTGTTATCTGCTCACAATTAAGGATAAAGCATAAGAGGTTGAATTAACATCTCTGGGTGAATGAATGGCAGGGCTATGCTATTTCTTCAGGAAGACTCCCAAATAGCATCACTTGGGAGTTTTCCTTAGACTGGTCCCTCTCTCCAGAAACAAAATCTTCAGCCTTCTGCCTGGGTATGTAAGACTAATTGTTAACATTCCTCAGCTGGCCGGATTTTTTTTATATAGTTCTGCTCCATCTATCACTAGATGCTCTGAGCTCGCTTCAGAGTTGGAGATATTATTCAGGATGGAAACTTTCACTTACTTCTCCCCATCCCCTAAACCTTTCAATGAAGGTTTCATTCTCTGATTCCATTGCTTTCTCTGTAGAATCAATCCCCAGCCACTCTGCCTAACTGTACAGAGTAGAAGACAATCTAGCTATATAAATACACCTTTTTATTTCATATTTTTTGTCAATGGACCTTTATTTTATTTATTAATTTATTTATATGTGGTGCTGAGAATCAAACACAGTGTCTCACACATGCTAGTCAAGCTCTCTGCCACAGAGCCACAACCCCAGCCCTACAATACATCTATCTTATACAGACTTATCTAGCTTTCAACCCATTCAAGCACTGACCTTCATATGTACCTAGCACCTCTAATTCCTCAGACTCTGGTGTTCTTCACAGTTAAATTCTACTCTGCTCTCCTTCTAGACTGAGGCTTCTGCTAAGTCAATCATTATTTGCCCCTCCTAGCTCCTCCGAAAATTACGTTGTTTCTTTTTGCACTCCTTCAATCCTATTGGATTTATAAGTTTTTAAAGATATCCCTTTCCTGCCTCTTTGGTGGGTTTTCAGAAGCATAGGTAAGTAGGTAGATTCAATCTACGGAAATGAAGAGTTATAATGCACTTTAACAAGTACTAGAAAGGGGCTGGGGCTGGGGCTGGGGCTCAGGCTCAGCGGCACTGCACTTGCCTGGCATGTGTGAGGCACTGGGTTCAGTTCTCAGCACCCATATAAGTAAATAAAGGTCTATCAACAACTAAAAAAACAATTTAAAAAAATCATATTAAAAAGAAACAAGTACTAGAAAAACAACCAAATAAGTTCATAATGACAACTTAAACCCAAGTGTTAGTATAATGATTTTCTGAAAGTTGAACTTATACTTAAAGTTTATCTTTAGGTGATTTTAATTCTGGTTCTCCTTTACTTCTCTGTGCATCAAGGGTTTTGCAGAAGGTATGGATTAATTTTATTATTTAGAAGAAGACTGCATTTTAAATATGAAAAAAAATCAATCATTAAAACAACCTACAGTTTTCAGTATCTACATATTTGAATCCAACTATTAAGAGGTAGACATTAGAATGATTTTCTTAAAAAAGTAGTACAATTTGGGCAAATTTTAGAGACTTATTTTGGAACAAAACTATGAGCATTCATGTCTCCAGCTCCACTACAAGTAGCAGTATAATATCAAAACTATCTATATCCCAGTATCCGTATCTATAAAATAGGATTAGTAATAATAGTACCTACTTCCCAGAGCTGCTCTGATGATTAAAGGAGTGACTATAGGTAAAACATCTAGAACACTGTCCAGAACAGTATATACTCAAGAAATGCTGGGCTTTTATTTATCATTATTGTTACATCAACATCTCAATTTTTAAAACATTTAGATAAACTTATAAGTTCAACTTTCAGAAAATAAACATTATACTAACACTGGTGTTTAAGCTGTATTTATTAAAAACTAAATATTCAAAATAAATTTATCCTTTTCACAAGACAAAAACAAAATTATATATAAGTTGATGATATTCAGATGGGCAATTAAACCGTCAAAGTGGTTAAACAGAAAAATACCTCTGTCATTAAGCGTTTTAGTCCTTCAACTTCATCTTCTCCTGGGTTAAGTTCACCACCAGGTCTGTATAAAGGTTAAGAATTTCAGCTTTCAACTTAATACAATTTGGGGATAACAACAAAAACACAATAGTAATTATTTCTCTCAATGTCATATAAGGCACTCAGAACAAACAAATGTCAAAAGCAGGGGAAAGAACATTCTGGAAAGTTGAATTCATAATGTTAATTCATCAGACTAACAGTATATTGTGCTGGTTTTAAACAGAAAAAATATATAACCCAGTATAAACATAAAGGTTAACTACTGGACACCAATTCATCCCAATATTCTCTCTGAAATCTATCCCATAATAATGGAATCTAGAAATGCCCAGAAAGCATAGACCACATTGTTTAGGTCTGGACATTTTTAAAGAATTTCAATCTATGTTTCTGAGAACTTTCTTTTTTGGTATAATTAATCAAAAAGCCATGGGCCAAGTAAATATTAAAAGATTTATGAGGTCAAATGATTGAACTATATTAAAATGAGACTAGAAAACACCATTCTAAGAAAGAAATAACATCAATTGCTCTTAGTAATGCTATGCTGACATCTGGAAACTGAGCTTGAACTAATCTGTTCCATGGGGTTTCTTCCAAGCTCAATCATTAACATCGATAATATTAGAAATGTGCAGATTTCTATTTAGAAAAATAAATGAGCACTGTCCTGGAGAAAACACACTTTTTTTCCTTTCAAAAGACTCCACTGAACAGTGTTTGTTGAAATGAATAACCGACTAGGGACTAAAACTGTTACATAAGCCAGCCAACCTATTAAAAGTTGTCTTGCTGTTAATTCCAACACCACTTACAATTTGAAGAAAGTTGTTCCCAGCTGTAGCAGTAACACATGGGGTAGCCGGTGCTCATGTACAATCAGAACCCCTTCTACAGTCCTTCTCATTCCAATTTTATCAAATTCTTCCCTCATGCGCTGAAATCTGGCTGCAACAGAGCTGTCCTTCTCATAGAGGGGCTCTTTTGTACCAAAAGTATAATTGGTAAGAGGGTACCTGTGATCCAAAAATAAACATCTATTATGAGAACTGATAACCATAATTTTCCATAACAGATACCAACTACATCAAAAGAAAATATAATCAAAAGTGTTATCTTTGTGCTCAGAGACTTAGGATTTGTCCAAAGTTACACAATTAACAAATGAAATAGCAGAGAATAGAATATTGCTCTCTGAAGTCTTGAAATCAGAAAACCATTATGATCAAGTAGCTACTCCATAAATGAACTTTCAGGCATAGATAATGCTACTATAAGGCCCTTAAATGCTTAGAGAGGTGGTTATCTAGATATTGGTAATACTTTGGTTCTAAACCACAGCTGCTATATCAATAATTACCAAGCTGATTCCTCTAATACTCTAGTCATAAATTCTATTAACTATAGGTGCTAATAGCTAATCCCCCCTTTTCCTATATACTAAGCATTTCTCTAATTATTTTTCATTTCTCGAAGTCAATTATGATCAAATTTTTCTAGCACCAAAAGCTTTTCCATATCAACTTTCCTAGGTTCTTTCCTCTCTAAACCTACAAAGAGGCCTTCTTAGCCTTCTGCAAATTATTCTATTCAGTATCCTCATTCTTTCCCGCTCATTTGAATCTTCTACCCATCATATCTAATCTGAATACACTTTTCCTTATCAAGAACTCAAAATATGGTTTATATTGTTGAAGATAGCTGTCATCTTATTTAGTAAAGATCAATTTTTTCCTTACAGAGTTAAAACCCCACATGTATATTTTATCACAAGCCACCCTGTAATACCTTGATTATATAAGCCTTTCAATAAAAATGTCTTAGCCACATTCTATGAAAAGTCCTTGACATACTACATACCCAATCCACTCTATTTTTTTTTTTTTAAGGGAATTGAACCCAGGGCACTTTTCACATCCCCAGCTCTTTTTATTATTTTGAGACAGGTTCTAAGTTGGTGAGGTTGGCCTCAAACTTGTGATCCTCTTGCCCTGGCCTCTAGGGCAACTAGGATTATAGGCAGGTGCCAATGGGCTAGCCACTCAGCCATTCTTGAAAAGAGAAATCAAAATTATCCAAACAAAAAAGTTACTTTAATTACAGAAGCCAAATTCTAGGCAAAAATAAAGTAGCTTTAAAATACATTAAAAAAAATATCCCTTCCAGGATGCATTAAAGATTATAAGGAACTGTTCCCAGGAGTCCCAATGGTAAATCTAACATTGTCAATGTCAGCAGGAGCACACAGCACTATGTGTCAGGTAATTTTTAAAAAATACCTTACATAACATATAGTTCTCAGAACCTAAATTAGAAAGATAACACATCTCTTTTGAAAGAGCCAGCTCCCATAGCAAGAAGGAGATGTTATCAAGATGAAAAGTTTGAATTTTCAGCTGTGAAATCAAAGTGCCAGCCCAAATACATACATGTTATGCTATTATAAGCATCATAAAGCAGGGGCTGGCTACATCTTTCTTATCACTCTTTTTCCTGTATTAGGCACACTGCCTGGTACAAAGTAAGCATTCACACGGTATTTCATAGATGAAAATACTCTGGGGGACAGGGGACTTGTTTTCAATTTAATAGATCATTACTCAGCCAGGGGAATTGCCATTCACAACACAACAATTATTTCTAAATATCATATTTATATGAAAAGAAAAGTATTATAAATCGATTCATAACTTTTTTAATATATTGAGGATTTAATACAGGGGTGCTTTACCAATGGGCTACATCCACAGCCCCAATACATAGCTTTTTTCTTTTTAATATATTGAGGATTTAACCCAGAGGTGCTTTACCAATGGGCTACATCCCCAGTCCTTTTTTTATTTTAAGACATTTTGTTCATAGCATCAATGCTACATAATGGCTTGTTGCAAACTGATCCGGTAATCAAGTAATCAATGCAAAAACATACAAAAGCTCAAGTGGGACCTAGTTCACATCATGACTGAAAGTAATACAGAAATTGTGCTTTCATCCATTTTTAAAAGAACTTGTCTTTTCCATTTCATAGGAATCTTATATGAGGACTTTTAAAAAGTAGTATCAAATTAAAGCACTACTACATGTTAATGTAATTAATACCTAAGGTTTTAACATTTATACACATGACTATCAACTAATTCCAAATTTTATAAATCTAATATTTTTATTATCCAAATTTCCAAACCAGCAACTGCTTTGCCAAACAACAATAAACATCTTTTCTATTTCAATATTTCAAGACACTTGTTTTATTTGAATATAAAACACTTATACTGTCTTACCAAAAAAAAAAAAAAAAAAAAAAAGCAGCAAATCCTTGCATTTTTTTAAACACAGACCGGTATAAACTGGCCACATCCTCCATTATGGTCAGCACCACACTGCCTGAAAATCAAACTCTAAAAATCAACCAAAAAAAAAAAAAGCATACTGACCACACACACACACACACACACACACAACACACCTGTAATTCCAGTAGCTTGGGAGGCTGAGGCAAGAGGATCTCCAAGATCAAAGCCAGCCTCAGCAACTTAGGGAGACTCTGTCTCTAAATAAAATATAAAAAGGGGTGGGGATGTGTCTCAGTGGTTAAGCGCCACTGGTACCAAGAAAAAAATATATATATACAGACAATATCTTGAGCAAGACACACCCCAAATACCAATTACTTGTACCGCAAGATTATGTTTGACAGTGACCTTGAAATGCAATGATATGCTTAAAGAGAAAGGTATGTTGAAAAGAAAAGAGCCCGCCATGGGTTCTCTGAGGCAATACTCTGGTTCAGTCCACTATCTAAAAGCCCCACCACCATAACAGCGTCCATACTCCCAAACTGAGGCCTACTGATGCCCGGGATGCTGCTGCTGAGTTAGACAAGACATGTGAATGCACAGGGTAGGCCAGGTATCCCTGAGCAGTTAGATTAAAGGTGGTGTATTCGTAAGGTGAAATACTATACAGCACTTAAAAGGGGGGAGGGAAACCCTAGACCCTTGCATACAGATATGCCCCGAAATCTTACTCTGTTAAAGTGAAAACTGCAAAAAGGATGCTGTTACACCATTCGTTTCCAGTAAACACACACAAAGAAATACCCTACACGTGACGTGAAAGTATAAACACTGAATCGGAAAGATAAAAACCACATTTTGAAGCTGGTTACCTCCGAATAGGTGACAAAAAATTAATTCAAAGCAAACTTCGATTTCACCAGAATGAATAAATTCAGAGGAATGAGAACAAGCTCTGTTTTCAAATGAACGAAACTTCCAAGAGGACTCTAAGCCCCAGGAGCTATGAGAACAGGAAGGGGCCTGAGGAAGAGAGGAAAGTGGCATCCCCGAGCGGGCGTCGGGATGGCGGGGAGGCGTGCAGCTCGCGGACCCGCTCAAGGCACGCGGGAAGCAGAAACGTCTCTAGGAGCGCTCCCAAGGACAGGGATGCCCGCCAAGGCCGCGCCGCACTTACAGGTTGATGGTGCGCTCCAGGGTGAGGGGCTTGGTCTGCTGGATGTACTTGTTGCCAAACTGGGTGACCCCCCGGGGCCAGCCCGTCTGCGAACGATTGGGTGGAACCACAGACATGCTGGCGAGCTCCGGAAATGGCGGGGAGCAGAAAGCGGGAGTCAGGGGAGACTTTCCCCGTGCGGGCAGCGGTTATCAGCGTCCCGCTCAGCAGCCGCCGCCCGCCATTAACAGGAGAGCGCAATAGAAGGCGAACGCACGCCGGAAGTGAATCCGGGCTCTCTGGCGGCAGGAAGTAGAGAGGCGGAGGCCTTTCAGGCCGAGAGCCATTTAGCCAATCGCTGGCGAGGTGATCTCAGTATCTGAAGCTTCCATTGATAAATCAGATTATGGGTTCCGCCTCCTCGTATTTTGATGCCTCCCATTGGGTAGCGCTGGAAAATCGCGGGGGCATTCTGGGAATTGTAGTTTCCGGAACGAAGTAGCCACTTCATCGGTGTGGCGTGGTTCGTATACCTTGTGAGATGAGTGGAAAGCGGCCCGCGGAACCCGGCCCGGCTTGGGTGGGGAAGAAGGGAAAAAAGGAGGTGATAGCACAGTTTTCCGATGCTGTCACGGAGGAAACCTTGAAAAAGCAGGTGGCTGAGGCCTGGAGCCGTAGGACTCCGTTCAATCACGGTAACCGGGTGCTATGAGGGAGGAGCCCCCGCGTAGGGGTCTGGAAGCCTGGGCAAAAGCTCTGGGACTGGAGCCGGGCCCCAGGGGAAAAGGTGTTTGGATGACTTTGGTCACCTCCGACCCTCCTGCCTCAACTGCTGCTCCCTTTCATTTTAAAATTAGTCTTAAGTGAGAAATCTGAGAAGAAAAAATATAGGCCGGAGAGTGTCGGGAAGTAGATGCGCCAATTGATAGAATTCTGAAATCCGAGATTACGAATTAGGATTTTTACTGATGGTGCATCATTGGGAAAATAGATTTAATCTTTTTTAAGCTTTAGTTCATATATATAATTTATCTCGGAAAGATGTTGAATGGCAATGATAGATGCATGCACACATCAGTAAATGTTTCCCTGAGTAAGGGCCAATAAACATTTGGACAGATGTTCAAGTGGCTTTCGTGATGTTTCTGGCAAGCGTTATGCTCAATCATCCCATGATAATTTAGCCAGAGCATTTGCTGTTAGCTGTCAGAGAGCAAACACCTGAGCGCACTTGTTTTGTCCAGTCGGCTGTATGACCTAAGAAATAAACGTGTCTTGACCAAGGGAAGGATCACTTGAATATTTCTCAAGGGATTCCACCCTCAGCTTCAAGTTATACTTTATAGGATACGAGCTCTTCATGAATTTTCTTCCAAGGTTCACCATATTTTCTTGTTTCAGTTATTAAAATGCTTTGAAGAGGTAAATCCTGGGTGTTTGGGATACTGAGAAGAAAGTGAACCGCTTAGTATTCAAAGTGCAGGGTTTGGACACTGGCAGACTTCTCAATTCCTTCATCTGTAAGATAGGGGTAGTGATATCTACCCCACACATTAAAGTTAAATGAAATAATCATGCATGAACAGCACCACTGAACCAGGCACCTGGTAGGAGGTGGTGGTGGTTAGTTTTAGAGGAATAGTGATCTAGCCTTCCAGAGGTAGTGGGTGCAATGTTGGGATAGAAATCAAAAAATCAAAAGTTATGCCTGAACTGCTTTATTTTTAAAAGTATGTAATAACTTCCTCCCATAGTAAACTAGGGGAAGAAATGGCAGAGTTGAAGAGAAATTACCAGCCAATGTTGCTCTTGTTTTTCTATTGTAATTTTAGATTTGGGAGGAAAGAATTAAGAATCTAAAATACATTCAATAATCATTAAACTGAAAAACTAAAATTTAAAAAAAGCAGGAACTTTGATTTAATGATGTCACCTATGCTCATCTTAAGGACTAGTATTTTAAGCAGCATTTAGCCAAGCATAGTGGCTCAGGCCTGTAATCCCAGTGATTTGGAGGCTGAGGAAGGAGGATTGCAAGTTCCAAGCCAACCTCAGCAACTTAGCAAGACCCTGTTTAAAAGTGAAAAAAAAAAAAAATGGCTGGGGATGTGCCTTGGTGGGTAAACACCCCGGGTTTAATTCCTGGTACCAAAAGAAAAGAAAGAGCAGAGCTTCCGATTCTTTCCTCCCCACCCCCAAATCTTAGATATTAGGCATTGGGTCCCCTAAAATTCATGGCCGACATCCCCTTTTGTATTCTTCTTGTTGTGTTACTTTGGGGTCAAAAACACAAAAGGAAAGAAAGCCATAGATAATATTTTCCTTCCTACAGAAGCCATTGCCATGGACATGGACCCCTTTCTACACTGTGTGATCACAAACTTCATCCAAAACCAAGACTTCTTGGAAGGGCTTCAGAAGGAACTTTTGAACTTGGACTTTCATGAAAAGTATAATGATTTATATAAGTTCCAGCAGGTATTTATTGCCCAGTCACATTAGTTCTTCCACCTCAGAAATTTATTGTCTATAAAACCATTTAATACCTTTAAGACTCAAGGTTTTAGATCGAGTTTGCCTTGGTGGGGGTGGTGCCAGGAGAAGTCCTTAGCGTTCTGTTGTTCAAAACATTCCTTCATTTAACGTAGCCTACTGAGTGTTAACTATGTATTAGGTGCTATAATCTTAAGGGAGATTTTGACATTGCCTGCTCTAGAAAACATTAAAAGTCTGAAATAATAGGGGTGATGATGACAAAGGTAGTCAAGAATAATCTAGCAATACATTTTGCCAGTAAGGAAGTTCGTTATAAACAAAGGCACGAATTACATATTTGAGAGTGGTATAGTGAAGGGAGTTATGCATTAAAAGTTAATAACCATTTAAAATTTTGAGTTTATGTCCTTGTTTTAGGTGGGCTTCATATGTTGTAGTATACCCTGCATTATACCCTGTCCAGTTAAATCCATTCCATTTTGATGGGCAATTTAATTTGGCAGAAAAGACTATCTCGAAATCAAGATTTTTTCTTCTACTCTTAAAAGATTCAGCCCAGACTAGCATAGAAATATGTCATTGGTTTTCTCAGTTTGGGAGATATATTTCAGTACAGGGAATATATCACTTTGGATATCCTTTAGAAAGCCTCATGACATCAGGGCCAAAATGTTCAAAAAATACAGATAAGAAAAATGAAGAATCGTTTTCTATGCGATTTCCTTTTGATTTTATCTGGGATAAAAGTAAATAATGGGTTTCTATCCTTTTTATCATTTTACACTAGAACTGATTGTCTGGTCAGCTGGCAGTATCCTGCCCTAACTCAATCTATCTTTGGACCTCATACATGTGATTAAATCAACCAAGCTACATATAGGAAAACAGTGAGACTCTTAAATCAGAAAACCTAATGAAAATTAAACTTTTGTCTATAGTAAGATTACACAGGTTAATGAAAACCCAGTTATCTGCCTTTATAAGCCCTAATACTTATAAAACTGAACTCCTGATCTCTGCTGCGTCTGCTCCATTTTCCTATCTCCCAACTTGATCTTTCTAGTAGTTCAAGCCAAAAATGAGTCTCTTTGATTCCTTTCTCACCCCTCATATTCATTCCATCAGGGAAATTTTTCTGTCTATACCTTCAAAATATATTCAGAGTAAAAAAAACCCTTTTTACCATTTTCACTGCCAGTAGCCAACACCTGATCCAACCTGTCCTTGTCTCTTACCAGGATTATTCTACTAATGTGTTAATCGTTCTCCTACCTCATTTATTTATACAATATCAGCTATTGTGTTCTTTTGCAATGCAAACTGGCCTTAGACATTGAAAAATATATGTTCACAAAAACTTGTTCACAAATGTTCATAAGTCGAATTACTTATAATAACTGAAAAGGGGAAAACTCAGCTGTCCATCAACTGGTAAATGGATAAACAATAGTTTGTTCATTTCATGGAATTTTATTCAGCTATAAAAAGGGATCCACTGCTGCAACGTGGGTGAACCTTGAAAACATTTGCTAAGTGAAAGAAGCCAGACACTAAAGGCTGTAAATTCCACTTCTTTAAAATATCTAGATTAGGAAAGTATATCTACGGGGGCGGGAAATGGTTTTAGTGTAGTGATTTCTGGGAGCTAGGATAGGAGAAAATGGGGAGTGACTTCCTGATGGTATAGGATTTCATTTTTGAGTGTCAAATTCTGGACCTAGCATTGATGGTTACTGCACATCATTAATACATATGCTGAAACCAGTTGGTTTCCACACTTTTAAATGGTTAAAATGCTAAGTTTTATGTGAATTTTAACTGAAAATAAGTCCTGTAAATGGAATCACATTATTTCTTTGCTTTAAAACTCCAATGGTTCCTCATTTCTTTGAATAAAAGCCAAATGACATAGACCAGCTCCAAGGACCCCTTTACCTCTTTGATCTCAACTACTACTGCTCTTTCCTTGCTCTGTTCTAATCCACAGTATCCTTGCAGCATCTTAGAATTGACTTTGCCTCACTTCACTGAAGCCTGCTCTTGTCCCATTATTTATCATTGCAAACCCCTCCTGGCTCTCAGCACTCCCCACTCCTCTTTCCCAGCTTTATACCAATCATGTGCCCTTTTTTACATTGTCTGCCTACCTCAACAAACATGAACTTCGCTATGAAAACTACTTATTTATTGAATGAATGAGGTACAGTCAGGCCAAGTAACTTGCCCAAGTCAGAATTGCCAGATGGAAGGGCTATGTTAGTCTGGTTTCAGAATCCAGGCTCTTAGCCGTGATGCTCTACTGCCAGATTCTCACTAAACTGCTCTTCTCCTTGTGTCTAATATATTATAACCAAAAAATCCTTGTCTTTTTCTTTCATGATCAAGTCTGATGATTTGAAGAAGAGAAAAGAACCTCATATCTCAGCAGTAAGGTAAACAAATAATGGTGTTTTTGGGTGCCAAATATGTGTGAGGCAGAGTAGTAGGTGCTTTAAATGTTATGTCAGATAGTCTTTGTTGACATTTATTATCCCATTTTATATAGTAGGAAACAGACTCTGAGTAATTAAACAAACTTCTTCAAGTCTCCTCAGCTAAAATTGAGAGATACAAACTCAAGCGTATGATTTTAAAGCTCAAGTTCTTGGGGGGTGGGTGGTGTGCACATACACAGCACATGGGGTCTCGGGGGCCACTGGGATTGAGCCCCGGGGTTTTTTTGTTTGTTTGTTTGTTTGTTTTACATTAGTTGTCAATGGACCTTTATTTATTTATTTATTTATTGCTATG